TAAAGTGAGGAGATTTTAAAAAATATTCATTTATGTGATTGGTAGTTTAGTTATGATTAAAGGCATGATGAAGACGATTACCACAATAGAAAAAGAACAGTTGTGCACAATGTGTATCATCTTAATTATTGTGAGTAGGTCGTATCATAAATTAAGATATCTCTAATGCCATTTGATGATTAATTTTAACAAGGCTAAATAAGTCATAACCCAATATCTTTTCATTCCCTACTCCCAACATCATAAATAAATTTATAATTTACTTTTTTTTTTGAAATTACTAATTAATTTCTGCTATAATGAATTGAATTGCCCAAAATCTTATTATGATTTCAATAATCATTTATCGCTCCATTCCTAATGAGTTTTATATTTCTTGAAAAATGTAGACAACTAAAATTCTTCAATTGAGAAAAGGACTCATCAAACTTCGAGTTCTGAGAACAACTGTTCCTTATATGCAAAATTATTATTGAAAGTAGCTCCTTTGGATGTAATTCATATCGAGCTTATTTAAGATTATTGTTAGGGATGGATATAATTAATTCTCTAAATCCTATTAGGGGTTGAAATATTTATTGATGATTAATATATCTTTTCAGTCCTTTATTCTCTCTAATACTTTTAATATCAATTGAAAATAATTAATAACAGGTTATGAAAATATTACCAAGATTGAGTAATTTTAAAAATCATTCAATCCCAATGTTTAACTGTTTTATCACTTAAGATTATTAGTAAGTTTAATTACATTTTTTTAATTATTTAAATGTATCTTTCCTCTTATCTTTGTTATTAATTGTATCATTACCTTTATCTAAACTAAAGATCTAAATTTTACTAAACTATTAATAATCTTTATTACGACTAAACCTGTTTACTCTGTTTATATTGTAAATTTAATAGTGTATACGTCTATAAATATTAATTTATAAACGTTGTTTCTAACATCTCAATATTATCCAAATATTTAAATAGTAAAATAAACACATATTATTCAAAAAGTTATAAGAAAATGATTAAAATTATAATTGTAATGTTTATTATGAATATTCCAATTCACTTTTGCTTTAAGTCTTCTAAAAAGCAACTTCCTATTGATTTAAACAAAGGTTTTAAATCTATCCCTTAATAATTCATGAATTGTCCTTATAATATAAGTGTTCCTGATGCTTGGAACAAAGGATTCTAGCATATTCTAAGTATAGTACAATAAGGATTAACTAAATAATAATTAATAATAAATACCATTTGGCAATAAGGAGCTATTCTGAAGAGGTGTGTTAAATTAGGCAAGCAAATCTTTATAGCTACTATTTGATTGAAGTATTTCCTTTGATGTTTTTACATTCCAAAGACGGATAGAGTGATCATAACTACCAGAAGCTAATGTATTTCCATCAGGGGAGAAATTTACTGAAGAAACTCCTACCGAATGACCATCTAATTTGGCTTTTTATTATCCTGTCTTAACATCCCATAAACGGATAGACATTCGTATTTCGGCCGTAGGGGCTTGGAAAAACCCCTATTATATTCAGGCAGTAGGTACCACCTCCGGATTTATGAGTCAAAAAACTATGTAGGTACCACCCCCGGATTTGTGAGTCAAAAAACTATGCAGGTATGACCATAAGTAAATCGATGATTTCTGAAAGCTGACTAATAATTTTTATCTGAGGGTTTGATTAAATTTTTCTATTCAATTTAGCATCGTAAATATCACATTTTTGAAGAGTTGATTCTGAAATATGTTAATGTATTAAATTATTATTATTATTTATTTAACACAAATAATTATCAAAATCAGATTGTAGTTTATATCGAGACACCTGGGGTTAATAATGCTGGGTGGTTTAGAGGGTGCCTAACTCTAGATCCCAGTGGAGTTCTTTAGGAACTGCACTATATATTTTAAATTAATTTGTAATTGTAATGTGATACTCCTTAGTGCGTCATCGAGATTTATGTTATTAATCGATGATTTTAGTAAAAAGTTCTGGAATTAGTATTTGTTCCGGAGGCATAGATAGCACTAGAGATAATATATAACAAAGATCTCTACAAGCTACTAAGTTAAAGCCCCGAACCAGCAATAGGATCAGAACAGAAAATAAGGAGGTGGTCCTTCGTCTCATTCTTTGTCTCAACATCCCTAGGCTTCATATCCCTTCTGGCCATGTTTGAAGAGTTTTCAGAGTTCCCTGTCCCCTTCCAGTTTAGGAACACTTGAGAATTCCGTGGCGAATGTACCCTGGTAAGAAATTATTACAAATTAAAATAAATATATGTATTAAATGATTATAAATATTAATCAATTTTCATCGTTTTTATAATCCAATTTGGTTCTCTAAAATGAAGCTTCCTCTTTGTTTAAATAATGTCCTCAAGTCTATGCCAGACCGATTAATAAAATCTCCTTTTAAAATTAACGTTCCTTAAGATTGAAAATTTAGCTATTTTGATATGACAAGGTAATTAACAGGAGTATTTACTATATAACGAAGAAAATAAATACCACTTTCTTGAATTAGATTGCTGTTAAAGTTTTGAGATGAAAATTAAGCTACAATATCTTGATAACGATTATCTGAAAATAAGATTTATTATCCTATCTTAACATCCCATAAACGGATAGAGTTATCTCAACTACCAGATGCTAATGTAGTACCATCAGGAGAGTAACAAATTGAATTAACTGTTGATGAATGACCATCTAATTTGGCTTTTTATTATCCTGTCTTAACATCCCATAAACGGATAGAGTTATCTGCACTACCAGATGCTAATGTAGTACCATCAGGAGAGTAACAAATTGAATTAACTGTATTTGAATGACCATCTAATTTGGCTTTTTATTATCCTGTCTTAACATCCCATAAACGGATAGAGTTATCTGCACTACCAGATGCTAATGTAGTACCATCAGGAGAGTAACAAATTGAATTAACTGTATTTGAATGACCATCTAATTTGGCTTTTTATTATCCTGTCTTAACATCCCATAAACGGATAGAGTTATCTGCACTACCAGATGCTAATGTAGTACCATCAGGAGAGTAACAAATTGAATTAACTGTATTTGAATGACCATCTAATTTGGCTTTTTATTATCCTGTCTTAACATCCCATAAACGGATAGAGTTATCTGCACTACCAGATGCTAATGTAGTACCATCAGGAGAGTAACAAATTGAATTAACTGTATTTGAATGACCATCTAATTTGGCTTTTTATTATCCTGTCTTAACATCCCATAAACGGATAGAGTTATCTGCACTACCAGATGCTAATGTAGTACCATCAGGAGAGTAACAAATTGAATTAACTGTATTTGAATGACCATCTAATTTGGCTTTTTATTATCCTGTCTTAACATCCCATAAACGGATAGAGTTATCTGCACTACCAGATGCTAATGTAGTACCATCAGGAGAGTAACAAATTGAATTAACTGTATTAGAATGACCATCTAATTTGGCTTTTTATTATCCTGTCTTAACATCCCATAAACGGATAGAGTTATCTGCACTACCAGATGCTAATGTAGTACCATCAGGAGAGTAACAAATTGAATTAACTGTATTAGAATGACCATCTAATTTGGCTTTTTATTATCCTGTCTTAACATCCCATAAACGGATAGAGTTATCTGCACTACCAGATGCTAATGTAGTACCATCAGGAGAGTAACAAATTGAATTAACTGTATTAGAATGACCATCTAATTTGGCTTTTTATTATCCTGTCTTAACATCCCATAAACGGATAGAGTTATCTGCACTACCAGATGCTAATGTAGTACCATCAGGAGAGTAACAAATTGAATTAACTGTATTAGAATGACCATCTAATTTGGCTTTTTATTATCCTGTCTTAACATCCCATAAACGGATAGAGTTATCTGCACTACCAGATGCTAATGTAGTACCATCAGGAGAGTAACAAATTGAATTAACTGTATTAGAATGACCATCTAATTTGGCTTTTTATTATCCTGTCTTAACATCCCATAAACGGATAGAGTTATCTTCACTACCAGATGCTAATGTAGTACCATCAGGAGAGTAACAAATTGAATTAACTGCATTTGAATGACCATCTAATTTGGCTTTTTATTATCCTGTCTTAACATCCCATAAACGGATAGAGTTATCTGCACTACCAGATGCTAATGTAGTACCATCAGGAGAGTAACAAATTGAATTAACTGTATTTGAGTGACCATCTAATTTGGCTTTTTATTATCCTGTCTTAACATCCCATAAACGGATAGAGTTATCTGCACTACCAGATGCTAATGTAGTACCATCAGGAGAGTAACAAATTGAATTAACTGTATTTGAATGACCATCTAATTTGGCTTTTTATTTTCCTGTTTTAAGATTCCATAAGTATACAAATCTTCCACTGCTGAAAGCTAAAGTACTATTATTTTATGAGAAGCATACTGTATTTACTCCTCCATTTACCTTGATTCTAGATTTGATTTTTCCTGTTTTAACATCCCACAATATAATCGAATTATCAGCACTACAAGAAGCTAATAATTTACCATCTGTAGAAAAGTATACCTATTTAACTCTTCCAAAATGACCATCTAATTTATTTAACTCATGTATTTTGATATTTTTCCAGTTACAATTCAACATTTACGCTTAATTCAAATTAATTCCACTAATATCTACATTGTCAAATTTTGTTCCATTGAATATGCATCTTACAAAATTTCCACCAACTAAAGAGGTATTTCTTATCCTGATATTCTCAAAACTTTATTCCCTCAAATCCACTTTCATTTAAACTAGCAAATTAAGAGAATTCGATCCGCGCTAAATATATGTCTCATCTAAAGCACTCAGATGAACTAAAAATTTTAGGAATTCTATTATCTTCTTATTCAATGATATTTTTGTGATTAGATCCTTTTTAAATTCTTCATAATCATCGATCGAGTAATTCTGTTTATTAAATTCATGATCTTCTATTATTTTGAGAACATTTGTAATTTTCTTAAGATTGCTTTTAGCAGCGTCTAATTTCCAATGCTAATCAAAAGGCTATAAATTGTCGCATAAAACAATGTATTTTTGTAACTAAGTTGATTTTCAATATTGGAAATATATTTGACAGAATCTGAATCTCCATCCTTTAAGAGCATTTCAATTATTATGTAGATCTTATCATCTATATCTTCAATCAATTATAACACCTTAAACAAGTCATCTTTCCTGTTTTGAGTCATCTTTGTTTAAAATAATATTTAATTTCTATTACTAGATTTGAGTTTTAGATATGATGAATATAGAAGAAAAAATAACAAAAATTATTCACAGTTTCATTTGCATTAATGATTCAACTTCCATATCATTAGTTGATTACATTCAAGAATTTGATTCATATGTATTGTCTACTAGTTTGATATCTCTAGAGAAGAAAAATTTATTGAAATATTTGATTAACAATTTTAAAAGCAAATGAATTTAATTAGTTTAATAACTATTTTTAATACAAATTAATTGAATTAGTTTGATACCTATCTTTAATAAAAATAAAATTACTTGGGAATTAAGAAAAATTTTCGTTCAGCATATCGGACATTTTAAAGTATCAGATTTAATATTATTTGGTTAATTAATTGGACAACTCTGAAGAATATTAGTATTTTATTGTTGAAAATAAATAAAATGATTTACAAATACGCAAAAAAAGGTAATAAAATATCGAAATATTATTAAAACTATTTTCTACTTTTTGTGTAAATTTAAAATTAGTATCTCAGCTTAAAATCAGTTTTGGTTTAGTAGTAGAATCATTCATAATACAGATTTATCTCTATTATATAGTGAACAACTGTTAATTGTAATCTTTTAATCTTTTCTAGGATATTTTAGTTATTTATTAATTCTTCTTGACTCATTTTTGGAAAGAATTTAATAAATCTTCATCAAACTTGAATAATTGTTATTTTAATTACAGTCTCTTCGATTAGAATAGTTTCCATTTGAATCTCAAGTATCTGAAGCATTGTGAAATTCAATTTAATTAACAACCTTTTATTAATTTAAATTCAATTTTTTAATTTAATTCTGGGTATGTTTATAAATAATCAACTTTAAGTTTCAGAATATGTAATTTCAATACGTCAAATTAAATTTTATGAATATATCAAATTAATTCCTATTACCTACTGTTTTAACGAAACAAACTGAATATAAATTATAATTAATGGGCCTGTGTTCACCTCTCCTTCTGTAATAATATAATTTTATAAATCTTTGTACATGATTTATATAAATAAAAAAAGGGTGACACACTAAATTAACGAAGTAATTAATGAGTAATTTGATTACCATCTTAAAGTGAATGTCTTCTCTTGATTTTATGAAACTAAGCTTTTATAATTTTCATAACAATTGAAATTTACTCAAAGTAATAGAATTTTTTTTAATTATCCAAAATTTCATTAATCTTTTCAATAGTTATTACTTGATAGACGATAAGCACTCATTAAATAATAGATTATTTGTAGTATTTATTTCTTCAAGCATAAGGAAACTCCCTTTTCTTTCTATCTCATTTTGATTTTTCCTTTATTTTCATTTGATATCTTTTCTTGTTCAATTCCTCTAAATTTCAAAATAAGACAAAAAGTCTTTCTTATGGCAGTTCAGTTTTCCAGGATTTAGTAGTTTATATATACATTTAAATTCCATCTGAATATAATCTATCCTTTTATCTGATAGGCTTTATCCTAATATCACGTTGCATCTTCTCTAAAAAATCATTATTTCTTTGTTCATGATAGCTTCCTTGAAAGTGCATACTTTTTAAACTTTGATCTGTTTTTCACTCTGAATTTGATTCCGTTATTCCTCTAACAATGAACATAATTATTTATTTGAATTGGCCATGCACTTCTTGAATTTTATAGATTGTTAATCGTATATCTGTTTCTAGGTTTGAATGAAACCTTTGTTAATAATA